GGGAGGGGGGAGGGAGGAGGAGCGGCCTACGCAAGGCCACTGAGGCCCAGAAAGCAGCTCAACTCCTGACATGCTCCCGCCTCCCCTCCGCCTGCTCAGGACCTGTGCTTAGTGACAAGCTACGTGCCCCCCCCCCCCATATATCTCGCTCCTGAAAATGCTGAGAATCCATGAGTAGAGTAGAGCACTCCTTTGGGTTAAGCATTGCCGTCTTCCTCTCCCGTCGTTCTTAAATGCAGATGCCCCTGGAAAGGGTAGTCTCTAAAGTGGCTAAGGTGCGGGGTGCGGGGGGAATAACTTTTGAGGTATTTTTGTCCCTGACAGGTGTGAAGGTATTGGCAGGTAGGCAAAAGCTTATGTGTAAAAGGACAGAAGCTGGAGGAACATGAAGACAGTGGCCATCCAATTCATAAGGGGACATCGTGCCCAGCCCACGGATAAGCAGAGGCTCTGAGGCGCCATCCTCAAAGCCCCCACCCACCCCACCCCAAGGACAGGATCTGACTAAGGGCTGGTGAGGCCCTCCAGGACGTGGGAGGGGACAAGGCTCCAACCTCCACTCTCCATTGCAGTCAGGTCCACTTCCAGGGCCGGTTCACCTGTCCCCAGGCCTCGCCAAGAAGAGGTGATGAGGACCCTGCGCTATGGGTGATCCCACCTCGGAGTGCCCACAGGCCTCTGCGGGAGTTGTGCCACCTCTGGAAAGGCTCCTGCTAGTCCTCCTCTCTTCATAGACGCTTCCCCCTACCTCAGGCAGGAAGGCCCCCAGGCCCTTCTGGGGAGGAGCTGAGCGTGTAGACCTGAGGCCCAGCATCCCATCGGGATCCAGGAGAAAGTGGGGAGCACAGGACACATCCAGGGAATGTAGTGAGATGGGAATGAGGGCATACTTCACCTCCACCAAGGGCTGGCCCCGGGGCGGGAGGCTGAGCGCTACGGAATGGCAGGGTGTGGGATGCGGTGCTCTGCACGGAGACTCTAGGAGCCCTGACCTCCCCGCCTGCCCTAAGCCCCCACTCTCACCCCAGAACGGACAAGGCGAGGGACTATGATGGGAACACACATGCCCCTCCCTCCCTGTCACCTCGGGCTTTCTGCCAGATTGACACAGGGGCAGCCACCTCTCTGACAGACAACGTGGCTTCGGGCACCCAACTAGGCAAGCCCAGCTCAGTCGGTGTCCTGAAAGGCCGACGTTCTCCCGCGCCAGGGCCCGGAATGGTGCCGAGAGGGGAGAAAGAAGCAAGGGGCTCCTCCAAAAGGGACTGAAAGTCTGAGGGAGGGATGTCACTCGGGGCCTAGGGGCAGGGGGCGCTCGTACGTTCGTTCGGGCCTCAGGACTCCCTGCCGCCGCCGGTGCTGCTGCTGCCCCATGTCAGCACAAACAGCCTCAGACCGCCCGGGTGCGGGGGCGCCTCTCGCAGTCGGGGCCTCCACCTCCCGGCCCCGCCCCCGCGCTGGGAGGAGACGCCTCCCACCTGCTAGCGCCGGGGAAGACCGACCCCGGAGCGGGGACCCCCGGCACACACGCGCAAGCACACGGAGACCACGGCCGGTCCGCTCGCCTGGCGGCCGCGTAGACTCAAGACTTCATCAGGGTCCCGGGAAGGGACGGTCCCGCGTGTCCGGAGAGACCCTGACCCTGAAGTCCTGGGGATGCGGGGAGACCCCAGACCCTGGGGACCGCCCCAACCGGCCGAGGCCACGGGCAAGCGGTTGCCGGGCTCTGGCCGGTGACTAAGGCGGCGCTGGGGCGGGCACGGGAGCCGGACCCGGTGCCTGGGAAACGAGCCGAGGCGCGCGAGGCTGGATGCCCTCCCGCCGGGAGACTGCCGGGAAGAGGCGCAAATAATGCCCAGCGCCCCCGCCTGTTCTGCCTGTCCTGCCTCTCCGCAGAGCGAGATGCGCTAATGCCGCCGCCCCCACCTGAAAGCTGGCACGACCCTCCATCCGGTGGAAGCCCCCGTATACAGAGACAGTACTTTCCACCGGGCCCGCAAAAAAAAAAAAAAAAAAAAGCCTCTGCCCCATTCCCTCCCTCAGGGACATTCGGAAAGCCTGCCCTAGCCCCGAAGGGAGACCCTCTAGTTCAGGTCCCGCGCCCTCCGGCCCCTAGGGCTCCCGGGGAGCTGGCTCTCCTCCGGGCTCTCCAAGCGCGGGAGCTCGCCGGAGGCCACCTCCCAAGCCCCGAGGTCCCCGCCGCAGCCAGCGCCCCAGGAGGCCGGAGGGCACGGTCCCCTCCGTCCGTCCCCCTCGGGCCACAACTCACCGCGCGCCAGCAAGGTTTAAGCCGCGGCGAGGGATCGGCTGAGTGCCCGCCTGCCCAGGGGGCGCAGGCAGGCAAGCGACGGCCGGAGGCACGGTTCTCGCGGTGCCCAGAGCCCGGGCCGCGGCGAGCGGTGCTGACGCTGCGGACCGAGCCCGGCGCAGAGCCGCCCGGAGTCCGGGACGCAGCGGGGATGAGCTGGCGGCCGCCCGGCAGGAGCCGCCACCAAGCGCGCGGCGTTCCGCTGCTGCTCCGGCGAGCCAGCAAGCGAGGAGGGAATCGGCGGCAACCCCTGCTCCAGCTGCCGCGGAGCCCGGCGTCCGAGCTGGAAGGAGCTGGCGAGGCGGCAAGGGGAGCTGGGTCTGGCCGAGAGCTCCGGGCTGGGAACGGAGCGGAGCGGGAGCGACCGGCAAGCGCAACCGGCGGAGGTGCGGGCGCCTGGCGGCGCCGCGGCAGCGGCAACAGCAGCAGGAAAAAAAATGAGAGCGAGCTAGAGAGCGCGCTGGAGAGCGAGCGAGAGAGGGAGCGAGAGACGAGAGAGCGAGGAAGGCGCGGAGAGGGGAAGCTGCGGGAGAGGGCGGGAGCGCGGGGAAGCGCAAGGGGGCCAGGGGGCCGGCAGCCGCTGCCGCACCCGAGGAGGTGCGAGGCCAGCCCAGCAAGTTTGCGCTCAAAGTGCGGGACAAGCTCACTCGCTTCCGCCGGCCTTTTAAAAAGAGAGCACCTGGAGCCCACCCCCTACCCCACACCTCCACCTCCGGAAGACCAGGGCTCTCGCGGCGCTCCGCCACCCCTCCACACCCGCCCTGCTGGCAGCTCCCCTTCCACCACACCCCAACGGCGCCCTCTCCCGGAAGCCCCCCCTTCCTCCTCCCAGTGTGCGTGCCTGCTTTCCTACCCCGAGGACATGGCGGGGACCCCTTCTCACCCCAGAGGGGAAGGGTCAGGAACATAGCCTCCCCAGCACACACCCAGAAAAGTACAGCAAAGCACAGGGATGCAGAGGGGCGCGCTACTCCCACCCTGGTGCGTCACTGGAACATCACACATCCGCGCGCACGTGGCGTATGCCCCCATGTGGCATGTTCATTTGCACACCCCACTGCTCCTGGTTCAAGTATATAACAAGGGGAGAAACAGGCCCAGTGAGGTGACTCCACTTGCCCCAGACCTCACAGCCTGTCCTGGGACACTTTCCACAAAGCCCCCTTACACCTCAGAACCCCACCAGGCTAGGGAAACACCCCACCCGCCGGCCTCCCTCCAGCACTGGTTGACAAAAGTGTAACAGGTGGTTTGGTCGGCAGGCTGCAGTGAGACTCGGGGAGAATCCCCTAGCCAGCCATAGAGCCAGCTCGCCTCCTTCCTAGAGGGGGCTTGGGAACTCTCAGGCGAGGGCTGGTTAGAAGGAGGCAGGGGAGGAAGTGAGGGAGCCACGCAGCCCTCTTAGGATTGCAAGAGCATCTCGCCCCAGACTGCAGAAGTGGCTTCAATTAGAGCTGTGTTGTGTGACTGTCCTTGTCCTGGGGAGGGCGCACCACGCTGTGCCAGGAAGCTGGGGAAGAAGGTGGCTGGCAGCGGAGCCAGAGAGGCTGGCCAGAGGCCTCCCTCCTCATCAGTACCTCAACCCCCCATTGACCTGCAGAGTGCCACTTTGGGCTTGATGCTGCCCAGACCTGGGAGGATTCGGCACCCTCATAGCCCAACCCTAATTTCTACAGGGGAAATTAGGTGAGGGGAATGTCTAGGAGGGTCTGAGAATAACAGGGACAGACCCCCACCCTCTGCAACTGGACTGTCCTTTCTCCCTCCTTGGCCCTTTTCAATGCCCCTGCCCCTTCCTAAAGACCTGCCAGGCCCCACCTCCTCCAGAACTCCAGATGATGCGAGCCCAAAACCACATCTCGTTCAGCATCATTCTGCCATGGAGCCTGGCACCATGCCTGAACAGTAGCGTAAGCTCAAGGAATGTTTGGTGAGTGAATAAATGTTGGCAAAGCTTGCATTCTCCTTGCTGTCACACGTAATGGCCCAAATACATGTCTCATTTACCCAATCAGTCTGAAGTCTCTGAGGGAAGCACCCAGATTGTTCATTCACTCATGCCTTTTTTAAAAAAATGCAAACAACGCTGACCGAGGTCCTGCTCCATTCCCAGTTCTGAGTGTACACACGTGACTGTACGCGGTTCTGTACGCGGTTCTGCCCTTGAGGCGTGCACCCCGTGGCCATTCGGACCTCAGCACCACACATTTTGTAGAGACATAAGTGAAGGCCATGAAAGTTCCCGCTGCCCAGTCGCTCTGTGCAGCCAAGTGCACGCTGCTCTGGGCCTGCAGGGAACTCAGGTTATTCCTGGAGAGACCGTGTCCTTGCAGCCTGCCTGGGTTCAAACCAGACTATGTCACATGTGTGTGTCTGGGTCACACTGCCCAAGGTCCTCAGTTTTCTATCTGTAAAGCAAGGATGATGACATGAATCTCAAAGCAGGACTGCAGGTATGAGGTGCAGGTCGTTCACTGCAGGAGGCCGCCCAGGTGAGGGGTCTCAGGGCAGCTCAAATTCAGCCTGCCTGGTCTTGACAAGTGACGAATCCTGTCTTGAGGCTGTGTCTGCCCAAAAGATGTGATCCTCTCAGAGGTGCCATATGGTCTAGCGCCTGGGCCCTACTTACAAGGTGTTCATGAAAAGAGAATAAAATAATGTATCCACAGCACCTACTCCTGTGTTTAGGCGCCCGTAAGTGGGAGCCACTGAAATTGTTAACACAGAACAGAATCCTCAATATACTCTTGTTGAATAAATGAATGAATGAATGAATGAACTAATTAAACTGAAGATAACATGGGCCATGATTTGTTGAGAGACAAAACAAACCCAGCCACTCTCCCCACCCCCTGCCCCAGTGTTGCTTTCACTCTGGCCATAATTATCCCACCCCCCGCCCCCCACCAGCTGTGTCGCAGAAGGCTGGGCAGGCTATATTTTTCAGGGGTTAAAAAAAGAAACACTGTTGGCTGGCAGATGGCTGAGTCTGTGGACTCGTCCAGTTTGCAGGTTCCCAGACTGAGGCCTAGCTCTTCCGGGCAACATCCTGACCACCCCAGGCCTCCAGACGGTCACAGCACGAAAACGCTCCGTCAGCCGCGCTCACCTGTGGGCCCCTGCTTGTGCAGCTGGGGCGCCCCCTTCTCACTCTTGTTCTCTCTGCTGGGTGGTGGCTGACTTGACTTGCCATGGAGACAGTCTCAGAGGCCCAAACACAGATTCACACAGACACATACACACACACACACACACACACATCAAGGAACTTCCAGGGGCGTCCCCTGCCCTGGGGGAGCTAGGGAACCACAGCTGTGGGAGAAAATCAATCAGAAGTGACCTCAAGGAGTCACGCTTCAAGGGACCTGGCCTGGACCAGCGGCTCCAAGGCCTGATTCCTAACCGCCCCCAGCAAGCCTGCCTCCCCTCTGTGTGCCCTGACAGGGAAGGGTTGGGGTGAGGGGAAGAGGGCACAGGGCTGGAAACCGAGAAGCCCAGACCTCTGTGCTAAGAACCAGGTGATGTGGGGGACCCCTCCAGCCTCTCTGAGCATTGGTTTTCCCATCAGTGAGACCGGGGGCTACACCAAGGTCTCCCTAAAGATGCTGGGATTCAGAACTGGGTCTCACTCTTAAACCTTTAAAAGAGGCTGGCCACTACTGGTAGCGTAAGCAGGGGGTGATGCTGACCCACCCATCCCTGCACCAGTCCTTGTCCAGGGAACTGGCAACACTGGCTCTGCAGGGGAGGGGGAAGGCTGAAGGGAGGAGAGAGAGGCAGGGAGTCCTAGAGAAAATAACAATACAGAGTCCTGAGCCTGTTCTTCGTACCTGTGTGACCTGGAAGTTCTTCCTGAGGTCTGACCTAACTCCCTCCTGCTGCATCAGATTCTTTCTTCCTGCTCTTTCTCTGGCCTCCCCAGTGAGGAAAAACAACTCCCCCCAACCTTTCGAAAGAATCCTAATAGAGGAGGGCAACTGTCTTTGAAAATCCTGAAGTTTAGGATTTGCTGAAATAAATCAAAGCTAGTCTGGAGGTGCAGGTTCGCTGAGAACCGAGCCAACCCAGGACCCCTGATAAATGCTTCCGTGTTGAGCTGGCCCAGCCGTTGCCTCAGCCTCCGTGTCTGATGGGTTTCAATTTTGGTTTCCCCTAAACCAGGCCATTAGATGAAAATGTCTCTGATGGGGGAGTTTGTTTAAACAATAACTGTCCCCTGGAAGGACATTTTCAGGATGAAGAGCTGACTGTGAAGAGAATGCAATGGCCCCAGGCTCTCCAGAGAGTCATAAGTCACTCTGCAGGCTTGAGGAGGAGCCAGGGGCTGGGGTCAAGGGGCTGGGCCCCAGTTAAGAACCCTGAGGTAAGTTGGCCAGGCGAGCCTGTAATCCCAGCACTTTGGGAAACCAAGGCGGGCGGATCACCTGAGGTTGAGAGTTCGAGACCAACCTGACCAATATGGAGAAACCCCAGGTCTACTAAAAATACAAAAATTGGTCAGGCGTGGTGGTGCCTGCCTGTAATCCCAGCTACTCAGGAGGCTGAGGCAGGAGAATCGCTTGAACCTGAGAGGCAGAGGCTGTGGTGAGCCGGGTCATGCCATTGCACTCCGGCCTGGGCAACAAGAGCAAGACTCCATCTCAAAAAAAAAAAAAAAAAAAAGAATCCTGGGGTAAGTTGTTCCTACTCTGCCTCCAGAGGTCGCCTCAGTCGTACTCCCCAGTCTGCTTGGGACAGGCTGGGACAGGTGTGAGTGGCACCCTTGATGGTTAGGGGACAGAGCCCTGGGAATCTGCCCTTCCCTCTGGCCAGTATGACTCTAGCCTCCAGGAATCCTCCCACCTCTCTGGGACTTTCTCCAGCTTTTGGCTTGGAGTAGTAAGTTGACTACGGCTAGAGTCCCCTTTCCACAATTCCAAACTCCGAAATGCTCTGAAAGCCACAAGTTTGTCCCTAAGTTTTCAGCAACTCAGCTGGCAACAAAACTTGACATCAAAGCTATTCCCTGCCGCTGCCTAGTGCCTTGGTGGAGGAATACTGTCTGCTGCACTGCGGGAAGGCCAGCACGAATTTGCTCACTCTCAGGATACTGCCCCAGGCCTCCTGGGGGTATTGCATACTGTATGGCATTTGCACCATAATATCTTCCTAAATTTCAAGAAGACCCGGCCCCAATGGTCTCTGATAAGGGTCTTGCACCTGTAATCATCCCATTTGGACCAAAGGCTTTCTAGGGCACATGGCACATTTGTACCTGCACCTCCACCCAACCAGGCACACTGAAGGAGGAGAAAGACTGGCTGGGGCCGAGCAGGCTGAAAGCAGAGAGGGCTGGATCCAAACACAGCTCTGCTAAGCACATTCACCCAGGACTAAGTGGGAGCAGGCAGCTGAGGATTTGCGATAGAGTACATTCGGCACCAGCGTGCCGGAGGGGCCTTCACACATGCTGCAGGAGCACCCTGCAAGAGCAGGGCTGCAGGACAGAGCGTTAGAGGCTAGGCTGGGGTCTCCGTCTCTTCCCACTTGCATGGAGGTCAAGAGAGCTGGGAAGGAGGGGACGCTCGCCAAGTGACTGGGGGATGGGCAGGAGAAGAACTGCGAGTGGGGTGGGTGAAGGAGACCCATGGTCCAAGGTCAACTTGAGCTTTTCCAATCATCTGCTCTAGAGTTCCCTGACCTGAGAGGTGATGCTTCCTCTTTTCTTCCCCAGCCTCAGTTTCCCCATCCACAGGGCTCAGGGCTCCCTGACCTCAGAGATGACACTTCCTCTTTCCTTCCCCAGCCTCAGTTTCCCCACCTATAGGGCTGAAGAGGGAGGGGATATGAGAAAGGAAAAGCAGGGGAAGCTGGAAAACTGCCTCTTCCTTTCCAGCAGCCACGGGGCAGAAGTCGAGGGAAACCAGAGTGAAATTCCTCCTGCCACTGGACAGAGAGGAGGAAGCACTTTATTCAAGGAGAAGGGAGAGATACTGGGATTCAGGAATGGGTCTCATTCCCAGATTGGGGCCCCGAGTGGCAGGCTGGGTGCTCAATGAGTCACCTCTAAAG